AGAGAGATTAAGATCAGAGATTCTCTGAGATATAAGAAAAACATATTATCTGAATTTCACAGCTTTATCTGTACTCTTGAACAGAAATTCTGCCTTAATCTGAGCTAGTATAATACTCACAAGATATAAGTAATATACACTGTCAACCTTCTTGAAGGCATCTCTGTGACTACTTGAGCTATTAAGAAGAGAGAGCTTGAGTGTACTGATACTGTAATGACTTGAGAAGAATTCAAGAACTTTCTACTGAATCAAATCAAAGATCACTGCAACTGCAGCTTCACAGCAGCATAGTAGTTCAACTTATTATATCAATGAGATGATGAGAATTCTTTCAATTTCAATGTAAGATTTGAAGAATATTGAGAGAAATTAGCTGATGATTTGAATCAATTAAAAACACAGCTTTATCTTACAAAGCTGACTCACAAGGTGTGAATAATAATATCATAATATCAGAGTTCATTAATTAATTGTACTGAGCTTGTCAACCTGGCTTTCTGAATCTATTTGAATAGTCAATTCTCTGAGAAAAAGATTAATAAGATCTCTTTTAAGTAATTAATAACAGAATCTAAACAGCACTGTGACAGCTTCAGTGTGAAGAAAGTAAAGAAGAATTCCAAGTATTCTGACTCTTCACTCACTGTGAAGAAATGTTAAAAAAGATTTGATAAAGATCTCTGTTTCAACTGCAGAGCTGATGATTACTATATCAGTGATTGTAAGAAGCTGAAGAAGAGAAGAAACTGAGAAGACATCTTCTCAAAGTCAACTTCTCTTCTGATAAATGTATTCATAGAAGATAAAGAAGAGAAAGAAATAAAGAATTGATAATTCTCACATCTTCAAGTTCATATTACAATTACAATGCATACTCTGAATAAGAAGATATCAGTGAGATGCCTACTCAACTCTGAGATAGATACTAACTTCATATTCTATTCCTTTTCTTTGATGAAGAGTTGAAAGAAGATAGATCTGTCAGATCATGTGAAATTTACTGATGATATAAAATGTCACTATTTTGACATAATTCAAGTGAAGTGTGTGATCACAGACTCAGAAGAAACCTTTAAGAAGAGCAGTCTGCTTCTTTATACAGTTAACATCATAGATGAGAATGTCATTCTAGATCTTCTATGATTGAGAGAAAACAATCCTCTCATTGACTGAGTTACTCAGGTGTGACAGTATCATCTCACTGATGAAGAGACAGTGATAGAGAAATCTGAAGAGTTTCATCAGAAGAATCTTGAGAAAAACATAGAGTTAATATACTATGTAGTAGATGATTGAGACTTGAGAACAGATGAAGAAGTCATCACTCTCACTGCAAGATTAGCAGCAGTATCTGTCATTGAGAACAGATATACACAACATCTCTTTACAGATTATAAGAATGTCTTTTCAGAAAGAAAAGTAGTGAAGTTTTCTGATATCAAGATATGATATAAGATTTATCTTGAAGATGATGCAACAGTGCTGTACAAGTCTCTGTACAACTTGTCTGTAAAGGAATTGAATGTTCTGTATAAATATCTTGAAGAAGTGTAATCAAAGAACTGAATACACTTATCAAAGAGTTCAGCAGAAATATCTATACTCTTTGTACTTAAGAAGAATAATAGGCTATGTCTATATGTAGACTACAGAGATCTCAATAAGATGATAGTTAAGAATTACTATTTATTACTGTTAATTGATGAGATGATTGATTGATTATCTGAAGTAAAGATGTTTATCAAGATTAATATACAGAATATCTATTATAGAATCAGAGTTAATGAAGACAACATTTGAAAAACAGCTTTTCATATCAAGTACAGCAATTTTGAATATCTTGTTTTATCTTTTAATCTTTGTAACACTTCAGTCATCTTTCAGACCTATATAAATGAGATGCTGCAGGGCCTTGTCAACATCTCCTGCATAGTATATCTGAATGACATTCTAATCTTCTCAAAAACAGAGAAAGAATATGATACTTATGTTCAAGAAGTGTTGAGTCACTTGAGACAGTATCAACTCTATGTAAACACTGAAAAATGCTTGTTCTACATGCAGGAGATTAATTTCTTAGATTATATTGTTAAGATGAACAGCATTTCAATGAACAGGAGTCAGGTCTTTATCATCAAGAACTGGCCAGCACTGCAGATATACTGTGAGATGCAGATGTTTCTAGAATTTACAAACTTCTACAGATAATTTATCTATGTATATTCACAGATTACTGCTCCTCTTACAGATCTGTTAAAGAGAAGTGTGAAAGACAGAAAAACAGAACTGTTTATTCTCACTCAAGACACTGTGTAGGCATTTACAGAATTGAAACAAGCTTTTACAGATATCACAATGCTGAATCATTTTAATCCTGACTTACTCAGTCAGTGTAAGACTGATGCATCTGAGAATGAGATCTGTGAAATCTTTTCACAGTTAACACTGAAGGTCTTTCAATGTTGAAAGAATCAGAGAATAATTATCTCTGAGAATACAGACAATGAAATGTCTGTGAGAGAAGGCTTTTTCACAGAGTTTATAAGACACTGTAAATGAAGATCAGTGACCTTCTTCTCTAAGAAGTTATCACTCATACAGAGAAGATATGATACTCATGATCAAGAGATATTAGTAATTATCAAATTCTTTAAGATCTGGTGACATTATCTTCAGAGTAGTAAGTACTCAGTGCAAGTTCTCACTGATTATACAAATCTGTGTTACTTCTTGATAATAAAGAGCTTGACAGAACATCAAGTCAGGTGAGTGAAGCTGCTTTCAGAGTATGATTTCTATATCTGATATTATTCAGATTGGCTTAACCCTGCTGATATACTGTCTAAACAGTCTGATTATAATATTGTTAATGCAGAGAAGAATTCTATAAAAGAACCTCTGTCATCACTGCAGAAGAAGCTGGCTGTAGAGGATTGAGATTCTCTGAAGCTTGAGAACAGCACTGATAAGACAGCTGTGTAACTCAGTATAGAAGATGAAAGAAAACCTGAGTCTCTGCAGAGAACTGACACTAAAGATCATGAGCTTCTCATATCATATCTTGCTATCATTGAATTGACAAAGAATGAAACAGTCTACAATCTTTCAATCTGACTACTTTTGAAATTTATTAATAAGTTATAGAAGAAGAATGTCTCTACTGCAGCTTAAATTCAGAAGTTGAAGAAGAAAGAATTCAGTTTAAACTTGAAAGAGACAGACTCTGAGTGAGGCAGTGCTGCTAAGGAATCAAGTCACTGATAACTAGAAGAATATGAACTTCTACTACTGAATGATTCAGTCTTTGTTCCTTGTAGCAGAGTAATGTGTTAGAAGTTATTGAGAATTCATTATAATGATTCTCATGCAGGGTACTTTGAACTAGAGAAGACTGAGAAGCTTCTAAAATGTAAATATATTTGAGACAAGCTTCAGACAGATGTTAAAGAGTATGTCAAGACTTGTAATATCTATCAAAGAATAAAGATTCTGCAGTATAAGTAATACAGTGAGTTGATATCACTGCCTGTCTCAAAGAACTCATGATAGAATCTATTAATGAATTTTATAGTTGACCTGCTGAAGTCAACAAGAGTCAAAGAATATGACTTAATTTTAGTCATTATTAACTGCTTCATGAAGATGATCAGATATATTTCTACTTATAAAAAGATTAAAGTCTCTGAATTAGCTGATCTGTTTTTAGATATCATCATTCATGATCACAGTGCTCTGAAATTGTTAATAACAGATTGAGAATTCCTCTTCACTAGCAAATACTGATCAGCTTTTTACTATTATCTTATAATAAGACATCTTCTCAGTACTGCATTTTATTCACAGACAGATAGTCAGACTGAATGCCAGAATCAGACACTAGAACAGCATCTTTAAGTGTTCTGTTCATATTATCAGAATAATTGACTTAAACATCTTCTGATCACTGAATTCATATATAACAATGCAAAGAATGTAATTTTAAAGATATCTTCTTTCTATACTTATTATGAATATAATTCTTCATTACTCAGTAACATTGTGAATAATATTTCAAAGAAAGAAATAGACAGTCAGAATATTGAACAGATACAGAGAACAGAGTATTTCTCAGTGTCAGAAGTAAAAGTGAGATTGAAACTTTTAAATAAAATTCATAAGAAGATGATGAAAAGTATCTGTCATGTCTAGAAGCAGTAGACAGAATACTATAATTAAAAACATCTTTTAATGAAGTTCTTAATAGAGGATTAAATACTACTTTCAGTAAAGAATATTAAAATAATGAGACTGTGTAAGAAGCTCAGTAAGCAGTGACTAGAATCTTTCTTAGTAACAAGAGTGATGAATAAGCAGATATATGAGTTAAAATTATTCTCAGAATTGAAATCAATTCATTCTATTTTTCACATTTTCTATTTAAAGCTCTATAAGTAATACTTTGAGATGAAGCCATCTTGACTGAATGATATTAAGATTGAGAAAGATACTGAATATCTTATGAAGAAAATATTGAATAAGTGAATATATTATAATAAGCTTTAATATCTTGTTAAATGAGAAGATTATTCATTGTCAGAGAATTTATGAAAACTGCTTAAGCATTTGAAAAATACTGAGAAAGAGATTGTAAGCTATGAAACAGCTAGTAGAGATCACTCTGTTACACATCAGAGATATTGAGTAAGAAATATCACTTAAGACTTCTCATTTTTCTCAAAGAATTTTTTAGAGATAATCTTACAGTGATAAGTCAGTGTCTTGTCAACTCTGTAGCACTCTTCTTCTATTTTCTTTCAAAGAGTTTTTAGAAGTTTAATAAGACTACACAAGTGTAAAATTCCTGAAGCAGTTAAAGAAAAGAAATATTTGAAATTAACAAAGATTAATATTATCAACTCACAGACTGCTGCTATTCTAAATGAGACTGCAGCCTGCTGAAAAAGTAAAAAGAGAGGAATCTCAGAGTCTACTTATTAACAATCACACTCTTATTAAACTCATTCTTCACTGTTGAAGTCTTCAGCATCAGTATCTTTATCTGCTGAGAAGTTAGTACTGCAGTGCTGTAGAAGAGCATGCTGTAGAAGAGTATAAGAGATACTTAAAGTATCAACTTATCAATTTGTAAAGCATCTCAGTCATCTGTTTCAATTGAAGTGAGATTCTCTTTAATCAGCAATTGATCTCTGCAGTGCTTTCAACAGTGATGTCAGCTGATTCCTTCTTAAGATCAGTCATTCTGAGGTGTTTTTTCATCTCAGAGACTCATACTTTCATCTCCTTTTGCAGATGAGCAAGGGGGACCTTCTCAGCCTTGACAGAATCTGTCAATACTTGAAGCTCTGAGACTCTCACTCTATACTGCTTGAACATCTAGACTTCTTGTCAGAGCTGACATGATGTCTTTCTGTGAAGTAATACTTACAGAGAGACAGAAGTTGTTATTACAGATGCAATGAAAACAATGAAAGTAAGAGAAGAAGCAGATGCATAAAATCCCCTCCTTCTTCAGCTGCTTAGCACAGTGCAGGCAGATGGCAGTGTCAGCCAGAAGCTGCACCAGAGCCTCCCCACAGGGAGAAGACAAAGGAACTGTGGGACCCTGCGGACCCAACCCAGCAGCATCCTGAGCAGGGCTCAGGCGTGCCGCAGGAGGGGAACTACAGATTGAGCTCCTCAGAGCCACTGTCCCCAGAACCAAGCTCTCCCCGGGTTCCTCTCTGAATGACCACACGGGATCATATGCCACCGTGTTGGCTGGGGGGGGGGGCGGCGTCCCAACGGCGGGGGGGGGGGCAGGGGAAGGACCGGACACGGACGAACCGACCGGCAGAAGGGACGACACCCCACTGCAAGGCACGGCGACTACCGCCGCGGCCGCAAGAGAAGCAGGAGGAGGAGGAGGAGGAGGAGGTGTGGCAATGGGAGCGGTGCTCCCGCGGATCATTGACGCCGCCGCTTCCGCCTCCAACCTGGCTTTCTTGCGGCCACGGAGGCCGCAGCCGCACCACGAAGACATTTGTTACCCACTAGAAAATGTCAGAATAAGCCCCTTATTGTCTCCCAAGAATGATGCTCCCATGCACTCACTATTGCAGATGGGGGGGGGGGAGAAAAATGTGTCATGGGGGGGGAGGGGATCTTTTCGAAAAATCCTGCCACTACTGTTAGCTTTGCCCCTAAAACACACCACTTTTGCAGGGAATTTCATATGTAGGACAGAATATGATGGGAGATCTGCAAGTCACTTGTTAACTACATTTTCCACATTTCAAATTGATATATAAGGAACCCACTTACCACATGTTTGGTTTGGATGAAGGTGGGAAAAGAAAGATCTACACAGTCAGCAGAAAAACTCACCTATTCCTTTGTGCAGCATACATGCTGTCAATCAGTTGGCAACCATTGCTATACAACAAAGATAATTCCTAATCCGGTAATCTTGAGGGCATTGGGACTATGCCCTTAAAGGGGAGGGCATTGTCACGCTCCCGGCCGCGCCAAGGCCCTGTTGCGGTTCCACACGGCTCATTGATTCCATGCAGATGATTCCATCTCATCTGAACCGGTTTCCAACCACTCTATGACATCATTCGGATATATCATAGGAAGATCTGATTGATGGATATGAGAACCCCGCTTCTATATGAGGTCAGCAGATTACTCTTCCTTGATAATGAGACACCGCTGAGGTATCACTCCAGTTATTCTCACTCATGGAATGGAAGGAGGGTATCTGCCCATTGCCTATATAGAATAGCTAGATGCTGGCTCCTCATCAAAGAAGCCAGTGATTCATTTTTCTTCTACTGAAATATATACAAGAGTTACTGCATGTCTCATACAATCTTCTTAGTATACTAAGTACCATATCTGTGATATCCTCACAATAACCCTGTAGCCTACAAGCTCACTATTCAAGCAAGATAGTCAAGCCCACTTATACAGCTTCTCAAACAACTACCCCTACGTGACGCCGCTGACTAGCCACCGCTTCGGTTCCGTCACGTTACAGTGACCGTGTCTGAGACCAGGACTAAACTTTACAGTTATTATGTTGTCTAAAAGCATTACTTCTGATCATGGTTTGTGTTCATTACATTGATCTCAAATCATGTTATTTTAAATATTAAAGATCTCAGATTCACTTTTCAAATAAAAATCTAGTCTTAGATAAAGAATATATTTGAATTCTTAGTTACATTTTCATTTTAATCTCATTATTGAAAATAGTATTAAATGAAATTATGAAATTATTTCTCATTTATATAATATCATAATATAGTGCTCATTTGTTGAAAATTTAATAGAGAGTGTTATTAAATATCATTACTTTTCTAAACACAGATTATAATTAATATCATTTTAATTAAAAAAAAATATAAAATATAAAAAAAAATAAAAAAATAAAAAACAAAATAATAATAAGAAAAAATCACAACAAAAAAAAAAGG